TATACGTCGAGTGTAGTGTCTGTCGCACATTATTCGATTGGTGACAACAAAGGCTAATGACGAAATGTAATATCGATCAGCTGCTGATTTGATCTACAGATCATCCTCTATCTTCCATGTTTTGATCTACAGATTTGCTCATGGCCTTCGCGCGCTACGCTTTTTCAAAGTGAGGCAGCGAAATTTTCTCAAAACTTTCCGGACACCCTAATACAAAGAGTGCTCTCGATGTTTTTTCTTTTTTCCCTGATTACTCACGTAGCGACTTCGGGTTCGTTATTGGACGCCCCAGCCACAATATGCAATCGCAGTGTTTGTCTTTAGAGCTTAGGGCGCATGCTAACTTTCGGCCCTCGACCATTATTGCACTCGAGGGTCACGATGAACACCACACCATCCCTTCAGGGCTTAAAAAAGTCTGGCCATTGAGTACGCGGTAGTCGAGGTGTTCGCTTGACATCTCCAATGGAATGCAGTCGGTAATCGTTCTAGTCCAGTAGCCACCCTCCGCATGATCTATCCGACGAACCTGATGTTCGAAACCTTAGCAAATGCGGTGCGTCTTTGATCCTCGATCGATCGATCGCTCTGGGTCATTCTTTCACTCGTGTGTAGCCTGAAAGTCCGAGCATCACTCTTTTGATGTGCGTTGAATGACGCTGACCGCATGTTCATTCTAGAGTCGACGTCTTTGAGGCGTGAGGCAGTGCCAGCAGGACGGTGGAATAGATGAGATGGCACGGAGCCGGACGTTCTTCCTCTTATTCGCTACTGGTAGCTATATTATAAATATATTCGTGAAAGCTCTTCTCCCGCGCTCAGCTCTGGTGCTAGCACTTCCATCATGCTGATTTCTCGACCTCCAGGTATAAACGTGATCTTGCAAACGATAGGGCTCGTGTAAGGGCGTATTGAGAGCGCAGCCACGATGTCCTTCCCCGCCAATTGTTGTAGGGCTCAGGGTTGGTGGAGGCGGCCGCCTTGGCAGCGCTACAATCCACGCCTCAGACACCCTTCACAGGATTACGATCGTGCACATAACTAAAGCATTTGGAGATGTTCGGCCGTTGAGCGAGAATGGAGCTTCGGGAACCCTCCTTTCTTCATAGACATCATCTTCGTTGGATTCACCAATTTTTTTCCACAAATGCAACCAAAACCAGTCCGCACTCGCTTTGGTTGCTCGATGTTTTGTATTAATAGAATGCTGTCGTCAGCAAAGCGAAGAGGATGTAGTTGTCGACCCTCACCCCAATGTCTTCCAATTCAGTTGACACATGGTGTTCTCGCGAGCGGCATGAGAGTTCGAGCGATATGATGCCGTCCTGTTAAACCACTGTCTGTATGTCGATGATTATCTCCTTATAAAATGGTGAAGTGGTGGTCGTGTTGCTGTATAGCTTGCAAGCTACGCGTGCTTATCTTATGTGCTGAAAATAGTAATGGATATGGGCTTCATTCTCCTGAACCTAAAGAAACTGCCGATAGGGCAGCTTTGATTGGAAACACTCGGGAAAATCTGCAAGAAGCCAAACAACTACGGTATAAAACAACATTAAGAAACTGAGTGATGGTGAAATCAGAAAGATTAGAGATATAGTGGGCATGACAAGAAATCAACAGGGAAGAACCCGATGAATGGCGTAGTGCGATAATTGCTCTGTTCAGGTTGGTCTGTTACGGACACTCTACGCAAAGGTGTGGTAGATACAAGAGTATATGCAGATTCACCAGAAGATCTATTTTTTGGCCAGATAGCAGCCCTCGGAGGTGAATTGAATAAGCACAAGTTTTATCTAGTAGTGTACTCCCAAAGATTTCAACAAAACTAAATGTCAACGCTTTAATGGAGAATACGATCGTGATTGTAAAGCGATTTAGACAGGATAAGAAAAGCACTGTAATCACCATTAACAACTTTAGGATGTTCGATATGGCTTATAGTGGCGACGCTTTGTGGATTGCCAGTTTCCACTACTCACTCACTCGTTGGAGGAACTCTTGGTTATTCCTTTGTGCTTCGTGGTTTGCGAGGAGTTAGATGGAAAAAGCTTGTGCAAATAAGTCAGTTTTACTAATTCTTTGATTACGGAACGCACCACCTTATGTCCGTAAAGAGGCTTTGTCGGGTAATCACGAATGCTATCTTTAGTTTCACAGTGAGAAGACGTGAGAATCTCTTATGAAAGAGTGTCCACTCTCAATATACAGTTTCAACAAATTCCATGCATTTCATTGAGTAATCTTTTATCGTACGCCCAGCGTTTTAATACTTCAAGAGTGTCGACCTTGCCGCTATTTCATATTTTTGTGATATTGTTCCTATAACTCCGGGGTTGTTTAGTTCATGCAAACATTTCTACCTTCTCGGCGTTGCCAACAGAGCTGTGATCCACTACTCTAGTACATTCAATCAATCGTCAGCGCGCGGGCGAGTTAAGTAAGAGGATAGTAAAGGACTAAGCGGTTTCGCTAATGTATGGACTGCTTGTGCCACACGCTACATAGTGCCTT